TGTTTCCATAGAATGAGCGAACAAAATGGATGACATTTCTGAATTAAGTCAATCAGTTCTCGATACTGAATGGTCAAAGTGCACTTGTTGACAAAACAATTACACTATTGATCGCAATGAAGAGAATGAACACGAGTACTGGATAATACCATTTGTATTTGAGTTTGTGTTGTAGATCTCCACAAGAAATGTGATTATATTTCGGTCAGATATGTTGGTCAAATAATGAAAAGTAAAACACACAAATAATGTATAACAAAAATAATAGAGGTGGACGAATAGTTATGCTGACTTGTCTAATACTATCATATTGCAATTGGAAAGACCGTCGACAACAGGGCATAAACACCAATATCGCTAGCGACAGAACACGGCAACTGACCGACGTTTTTACAACACATTTGATAGGAAGAAAAATAGGATGACCAGATAATAATAATAATTCCATTACTTTAGTGTTGCAGCAGTTATAGTCTCATGCCATATAAGCGTTGGGAGAAAAGAAGTCTCCCCAGTAGAAATGTCTATAAATTGATACTGCCCTTGGTTCAAGATTTCTTTTGAAGAACTCAAGTCAGCTTGAAACCAAAAACGTGCGGCCTATCACAAATATATGGAAAAAAATCATCAAGCTGTTATTTACTTATTTTGCCGTGGAAGGAATTTTCTTATTATATTTCATACTCGTCTAAGCACAAACTGCAGATAAAAAATTACGGTACAACAGTTTTTATAATAAGGAAACCAGTCAAATAGAGCGATATAATGAGATGTTATTTAGGGTTCAACTTACCCATATTTTTCACCGTGCTGCACAAGCAATCCATTCAGATTTTCTTTCATAGTACTACTCATGGTGGAGTACCGCTGTAAATATTCCCTCCGTGGAAGGCTTAACAAAGAGAAAAAATGGGGTGAGAAATGAGAGAAACAAATTATGCTTATCAAAAACAATTCCGAAATAACCATGACTGGTGTACGATGTACCCGTGATGGTTTACACCACCTGGAAGTTCATTTCATGCACCAAACCATCATCTTTGAAGATTTTGTCGTTCGAAATGAAGAATCACCTCTTGCACTTCACTGAAAGAATCAGACTTGGATATATATATATATATATATATATATATATATATATATATATATATATATATATATATATATATAT